AAATGAACAGAGAAGCTCTTGCCAGGTGAAATGCAAAGGTTATCCAAGGAGGTTCAAGGATGTAGGAGAGTTTGGGGGTGGATCAAGAAGCATCATTTTTTGCTGTCTCTAGGGTTGTTCCCTCTGGTATCAATGGCATCCGTGGGAACTGACTTCTGCATCTGTGTCACAAAGCTGCCCTGGTTGCTCGGGGTCAACATTGACCAATGTTTGTCAAGAATCATTATCATAAGTATGCAAATGGCATACCATACCAATTGAGATTTGCTAATAGAAAATTAATCATGGGTCTAGAGAGATGGCTCATTGGTTAAGATCATTGGTTGCTCTTCCAATTTCAATTCCCAGTACTCACGTGGTGGTTCACAGCTGTCTGTAACTTCAGGCCCAAGGGGTCAGATGCTCCTTTCTGGCCTCTGAGCACTGTGTTTTTATGCTCCACAGACATACATTCAGGCAAACACTGACACAAAATAAAAGTAAAATCTCAAAGGAAAAAAATAGAACATGAACCACATAAAGACCGCCTTCTAGTCTCTGTAGGTTTGTTTGTGTCTTCGCTGCATAAGAGAAAGAGTTTGTCTTCTGGCTCCTGCACTGCAGATCCTTTGAGTTGACATTACTTGTCACAAGTCTTATCTTCCCAAGACTTGACACGTTCCATACCATTGTTAGACATTTCCTATGAAGGGTTTACCATGAAGCCAGGGGAGAAAGAGTAAGGGAATCGCTCTGGATTCCCAACGTCAGATTTGATGTGGACTTCCGAGAGAAGACAGTGCGTGGACATCACACTTAGAACCAGCCAGAATAGCAAGCTGTCCACCCAGGCTCTGGGCAGGGCAGGGATGTCTGATCCCACACCACATCGTCTGCTCTTCTTGGCATGGTTGCAACGGTGGGACATGATTGAAACAGGGCTGTGACTTTCAGGTCGGCCAGAGCTCGGCTGCTAGCTGGTGTCCCAGACCTCCTGACTGTCACCTGGGCCAACTTGTCTCATTACTGGTCTTGTGAAAGTCACAGTAGTACCCGTCTGTGAAGCTATTGCCACCACTACTTCGGGTGATACAGGAGGAGCCCTTGTCAACAGCCTGGTGCACTAAGTTCCCTTAGTAATTCTCTGTGTTGGTTGGCAAAGATCCATACCATTATATTATCCTCTCAGGATTGTTCGTCACCAGGAGGCCATTGCATGTGAGAGCCTCTACAGGTTAAGAGGAGGACATTTTTCTGAGGCCTGTATTGGATGGCCTATCAATGGCAGTTTCTTTGTGGACAGCTCGCAGATTAAGTCAGGTAGTGACAAGTCATTGCTGAGCAGGTGTTCTGTGAGATTTGAGTGGTCATGACATTGTCCCATGCTTCCCCAGGAGGGTCCCCATCTCCTCAGGGAGGGATAGGTGTGTTCACCCTCAGAATGTGACTGCAGTTCACTGGCCATGGGACCCTTGGCAAGTATCTTCACTTTTCTAAGCTGCCATGGCTGCTAGTAGGACCCAGGTTCCCAAGATGGTTTTGGAATTGCTGTCTCTGTTCAGTGCCTGGCATGTAGGACATACTTAGCAAATGCTAACCCATGCTAATGTTTACTTAATCATCAGTTACTACAGCTGGCAATATTACTGTTATTTTAGCTAATACATATTTATTATATGAGAAGGAAAATACCAGTTCTCACTCCCAGTCATGTTGAAAATTGAAGAGAAAACCCTATTTCTCTGCTTCCTTCACTGAATGATGGGGTTATTAAGTAGCTGCAGCAAAGAGTTTTGATTCTAGTATTCAAAACCAGAACAAAGAAAGAAAAACAACCTTATTCCTCTCCCACATACACAAGCAAGCAGAAATTGCAGCCCAGCTGCTCGTATCTATCTGCTGGCATTATCTCTTCTTTGTACACAGAGAGAGATAAAGACCCACAGTTTAGACTTATAAAGCTCTAAAAGAATAGACTACGTTATCTCAGATGCAAACACTGGAGGGCCTATGCCACTGCTGGGTAACTCAGGCTGTAACTATGGCAGCTGCTCTCTTCCAAGATAGATAGCTTTAATTGAAAGAACACATAGAGAAATAAGAGAAGACTTGATTGCATAGGAACAACTGTGATGACCTCACCATTTGATTTTGAAAACTAACACCAGCAATACAATTGTGGGATAACAACTCATGAAATAATATGAAAAACCCATTTGAGCATGGTGCTCAAATCATGCCTTCTGTATCTTACTGTTAATGGAAAAACCTTCGCAATCTGATGTGGAAATCCGAAGACCCTTTGGGTCCCCTAAATTTTCTTTACTCTTTTTGGTTTTTTTGAGACAGGGTTTTTCTATGTTGTCTTGGCTGTCCTGGACTCACTTTGTAGATCAGCTGGTCCCAAACTCACAGAGATCCACCTGCCTCTGCCTCTCCAGGTACTGAGACTACAGGCGTGCACCCACCAGGACAGGCTTAAAAAAAAAAATCTTAAAAAAATATGAAAGGTGACTCTGATACAAGCTGAGTACCCCTGGACAAATACCTAAGTCTCATAGAGCAATCAGACCTTTGAAGTACTAAATAACAAATTGTGCTAAAATTACACACACAATAGATGCTTTATACTAAATAATGATTTTTCTTTTACTCTTTGTTTCTTGTCTCATTTTGCATGTGTTATCATGCTTCTTTTTCCTCAGCCTGAAAGAAGATATTTATTTTAGCTTGAGCCAATGACTTTATCCTACTTACCTCAACATCTGGATTAGTTTTTGTATAGCAATTACATTCTTTTTAATATTTTAGTACTTTGTCAAAAAGGAGGATCTTTTGAAATAACCGTCTTCCCTCACTGAGAAAGTTGGGAAAGTTAAGCATAAGTTTATTTAATCAATAAAAGTCTCTAAAAATCATTAAAAATTAATAAATGACAACATATGATGTAATTTCTTGGTTTTCCTTATCTCATTTCCTCTTGCTTCTCATTACCTTGTCTTTTAAATAATGCAAAACTTGGCTCCTAGTTGGCATCCAACAAGTGGCTCTTTGTTGGATTAGCAGAAAAGGAAACAACCATTTTAATTGTGGCCCAAGGCAACACCTCCCTAGTGGAAGCTGAACAAACATTAATCAAATAATTTAGGCTAAAAAGCATTCTGCTACCTCCCGACTACTTACTGTAATTCCTGGAGATAGAAAGATGGTTAAATTGCTTAAGTCGTCATGGAGGCTAAAAAGCTTTATGACATCTTTCATATTTAGTTAAGATTTTATTGTTAAAGAGACCCTGGGAGTGAGATCGGTAGATGTGCAAGTCAAGATCCTGAGGACTAAATGACTTGGTCCTGGGAAAACAAAATTGTAGGAAAAATTTATTTCCTCTTCATGCCATTACAGTCAGCCTTTGTGAAGACTTGCCCCATGATGTGCCTGAGTATCGGCGCTTTCAAGGCTATTTGCACATCTCCAAAAATTAGAAAGCTAATTTGGAAATGGGCAAGAATTGAAAGGAAGAGATACAGGCGACAATGGTCCAATAATTGGGCAATGGTAATGTACAGATTCCTTACAGGCAACAGAGAGACAGAAAGATGGGGGTTGGTTGCCCGGGTCACGGGGAACCCTGGCATATGATGATACACACAAGGAAAATCACAACTCCTTCCCTCCACGCCGCCTCTGCGTTTCCAAACAGGTCTGTGTCAGACACAGCGCTGTCTAGGTTTCGGTGACTTGTCATCATCACAGCTGTCTAAGTGGGCCCCACATGGCACACCCAGCCTCTCCATAGAACCTGCAGGGCAGAATCCAGCCAAGCATCATCCTCTCAGGTCGTTCTGTTCACAGGAAGTTCAAGTCCTTGAAGGCAGCCTGGGATGAACTTGGGGTTATGTTGGTGTTTCCCCAACCCACACAGCAGGTGTTCCTTAACTCATCTTCATATTTCCTATCAGTGTGTGTGTTCACGTGTGTGCAAGCGCATGTGCGCTAGTGTGTGTGTGTGTGTGTGTGTGTGCGTGTGAGCGAGCATGAGCGCACACATGCACGTATGTGTCACTGCACACATGTGGAGGTCAGAGGATGGCTTCTAGCTGTTGGTTCTTTCTTTCCATCGTGGAATCCAGAGGCTGAACTCAGCTTGCCTGGCTTACACAAAGAGGCTGTACTCACAGGCCCCATCTTTACGTTTCCAGTCACTGCGTCTCACGCACTAGTGAGCATTAGTGAGTGCCACGCTAATGTTTGTGAGCCTGCAGTAGAGAAGGAGCTTGTGGAGAAGGGTTAGCCACGTGAGACTCCTCTCGGCTTAGGCCCTCTGTCAGAGATGATTTCTGTATCGGGCGATACGGACTTTACACCCAACTCTGACAGCAGTGCTCAAGGCTTAAACCTCCATATTTTAAATGAAAAATAAAATCTGTACCACGTCTCCTGCCTGGGTACTGATGTGCAACGACTCATGTTATTAAGTGTCAGGATGAAATAGAACCGGCTTTCTTTAAAAGGGGAGAGGAATAATAATCCTGGCACCTCTGGTATCTTTAGGAACAGGTGTATTAACCCATTTCCTTTCAAGACATATATAACACAGCTCATTCCAGGTCGGGCTGAAGCCTCACAGCTCCAGAGAAAATATGGAAAGGGGACATTACTGTAAACATCCTCTCTTTTCATTATTGCGTGTCCACGGCACGCGTGTGAGTGTCAGAAAACTTTTGGGTGTCAGCGCTTGTCTTTCAAGCACATAAAAATATGGTGAGAGAAATGCTCACATCTTGTTCCATGAAGTGCTGTATTTGTCTTCTCTACAACTGTTTTGCTTCATGTTCCCAACAGGGTAGAAATTGTTTGAATGTGATGCGGGAAAACCAACACTATGGTTGTTTGGGATAAGCACGCCTCACCTGGAGTTGCTTTCTTTTTCGTATGTGCTTTGTCTACATCTGGTTCCAGATTGTGTGATAGGGATTTCCACAGCCAAGTGTGTCTGAGTGATGCCTTCTCTTCTCCCTCAGCCCCTCTGTTTTCGCCCCGTCAGAAGCTAGCATGTCACTGAAAAGCGAGCCCAGAGTAAACACTTCTGCGCTGCAGAAAATCGCCGCAGACATGAGCAACCTGATAGAAAATCTCGACACCCGGGAACTCCACTTTGAGGGGGAGGAGGTGGAGTATGACGCATCTCCAGGAGACCCCAAGACTCAGGAAGGTAAGGACAGGTGCTGGAGGGGTCGAGACGTCCTCGGGCTGCTTGGCAGAGCACAGTGAAAACTAAGCAGAGAGCAACCACCATCCTTGGAGTTGCAGTGCTTAGGAAGAGAGGGCTTCCCGAGACTTCCTTATTTAAACAATGCTTCTTTTTTCTTTTACTGTTCTGATCTGGGTCTGTCTCATTAACACAGGGGTCACTCTGAGTGACCAGATTCTATGTTCTCCTGCATCTCTGGGACAGTTAGGCCATGCTGTCTTGTGGGCCTCACAGTCCCTAATTTATGCTTCTGCCCAGTCAGTACCTGAGTCCTCTATTTCCTTGGGTGTAGGCGATCCCAGACTGAATCACAAGGTGTAAAACTTCCCCCAACCCCTGGAAAGGAAACAAGAGTCGTTTACCTTCCGTCGTCTGGGGGATTTCTGAGCATGCGCTTTTCTGGGCTTTCCCGTCATCTAATCCTTGTCAGCTGTCTCATACTCTTGCTTTAAACTATACCTCTCCGTGAAGTACCTTCCCAGGCTTAAAAAAAAGCCTCTCTTCCCCTTTAAGTCCCCATCAAATTATATCCAATATAATATAGTGCCCCTTAATGTTCTCCCACCTCTGTCAAGGCCCAGTCATGTATGGCTTGCTTGGTTCACAGGCCCTTTCTCCTAGCTAAAGCTCATTCCCCGGCAGGGGGCAATTTTATGTTAGCTCCTTGCCCACCATAATCCTGTGGGTCTTCTGGATCAAGCTCAGGTCATCAGGCTTAGTGGTAGCCATCTTCACCCAGTGGTCCATCTCATCGGGCCCATCTTAACAGCTAAGACTCTTCCAAGGTGCCACTCTGCTCCTGTCTCTTACTGGAATAACCTTTTACCTTTGTCCTTTTCAGAGCACATCCCATTCTCTTCTATTTACAACACTCAAGGATTTAAGGAGCCCAACATCCAGACCTACCTCTCCGGCTGTCCCATAAAAGCACAAGTGCTGGAAGTGGAGCGCTTCACGTCTACGACGCGGGTCAGAGCGCTTTGGCTTCATCCTGTTTCTGTTTTGTCCACTGTGTCAATAACGCTGACCCCTCATTCCTTCCCCCCCCCCCCCGCTGTGATGCTGTTGGTTGGGCTTTGGGTACCACCTCCAAGTTCTCTCCACAGGATTTTATTTTCTTCTCATATACTCTTTATTCTCATCCTCTGCCCCCCTTTCCCTTATGAACCTTACTCCTTGCTCCTGTGAGATGCAGTCTCAGGTAGCGAAGCCTGGCTTTGGCTCTTGATCCTCTGTCTTCTGCCACCCCAGTGATGAGATTTTAGGTGTGAGCAGCTATGCTGCCACAATCTTTATTTTCTTTATTTTTATTTTGGCTTGCATTCAAGGGCTGGTGATGTGGTTCAGTAAGTAAAGGCACTTGCTGCCAAGACTGAGAACCTAAGTTTTCTGAAACCAGAAGGGGGAGTGAAAAACTGAGTCCTGAAAGTTGTCCTCTGATCTCCACCCGAGTGCTGTGACACACATACATACACACATGCCCACAGAGAGTCACAAAAATAAGTAAATGCATGAAAAGAATCAAACACAAAAGAACAATATCATTCAAGGTACTTTATTAATTTAGTAACTGGGAAGATGCCTCTCTCTCTCTCCAGTACATCTTTTTTTCTTGGGCTTTTGGCTTATATCTGTTAGGTCTCAAACCCAGGACCTATGGCTGAGGTGCCTATGTAGCATTTCAGGTTCTCCCAGGATCCTTCAGTCTCTACCTGTTACAAGGTATGTTTGGCACACACACATACCCTAAACTTCTCTAGCCCAGGACTAGGCTGCCCCACCCATGCCCTTCCCTGTATAACCTGGCCATTTAGTTATCCTCCCTCTTTTGTCTACCTGGCTCTCCTCTCTCTCCTCCCCCTTCTCTTCAATGGCCCAGATCAGAGTCATGTTCACTCTGTATTCTCCAGATGTCTAGGCCCCTGGCTATGCTCTCCCTTTTATCTATAATAAATCTTCTCTTTCACCATACCTAGGAGTAGTCATGCTCTTCCTTTTTATTTCTTTTTTTTTTTTCATTCAATATCCATTCTAACTAAAGGCCATATATAAGTCAAGAGAAACTTTACTTTTCCTAAGGCTTCTTTACCAAGAAAATATGAATGGTACTTTTCTCTTAAGAGAAACAACAACAACAACAAAAACAAAGTCCAGACTTTTTGTAGATGCTATATTCAGAAGCACTGCTGAGAAAATTTTGCTGGCAAATTCTTTCTCTGATTCATTTTTGGGACTCCATCCTTCATCCCCCAGGACCCCACTCTTCGGTCCCTGGGACCCCACTCTTCAGACTCTCCAGTCCTCTGGACCCCATCCTCAGTCCTCTAGGCATTACCTTCAGTCCCTGGAGCTCCACCTCCAGTCTCTGAGACTCTACCCTTTCTGTTTTCTCTGAGAACTGAAAAGTAATTAGAGTGAATCATCCTTGCAGAGCAAAGTTGAACCCTTAGAAACAGATTGGATCAGGAGATGGTCTGTTTGCTTGTTGCTGCTTGGATTTCATAGTTGTCAGGTCTAGCAGTTGGAGATTGGTGACCTTTGTCCCTCAGGTTAAGGGCTAGTCAACATTGAGCAGGCTACCATTGGCTTCTGCCTCCAGGCACACACAGAATCATAACCTTTGGTCAGCGATCAGTCTCTTGGGGGCAGCTGGACAACTGTGGTTTCTAGCTGGTTTGGAAGCATGATCTATCTGATTTTGCTATGCTGACTCCTGTCACCGTCCTGGTGCCCACCTGTGATCTAGGCTCTTTTCTTTCCTCCTCTGTCTCTGTCTCTTTGGTCTTCCTCTCTTTCAGAGATGGTCTCACGAAACCTCAACCAGCCCTTAACTTTTAAACACATTATTGCTTTGTAACTGAGGCTGACCTTGAGCTCCACCTTCTGAGTGCTAGAATCACACGCCTGTGTCTCCACATTGGGTTTATTCCCTGCTGGGCTTCTGAATGCTTGAGCTCTGCTGTAGGCTTTTCCTTTGTGCTCAGGTCACATCTCTCTAAGATGCTCTTTGCCTCTTAATTTGCCTGCCAGTTTTTAGACAGCAAGGTTATGTTGCATAGGGCTTGAATGCACAAACTCTGGAGCCAGACCGCAGGGTTGACTTTGTGTCTTTGCTTTGAACCTCTCAGTTTCTGTGCCCTCATTTGAATACTGGGTCTAACAGTGCTTACCCTCTGTGTTTTCTATAAGGACTTAACTCTAGTACTGACAAGATCAAGCTTACGTTATGCACTCAACACTACAGCAACTTTCTCTGTATTCTTGAACCTTGGCACTTTGGAGATATATATATATATATATATATATATATATATATATATATATATATAAAGGGGTAATCTTATGCTGTGTCTCATTTGTTCAGAAAATAAAAAGGCTAAGATGGTAGTCCCCTGGGCCTTGATCATGTCTCCTCTCCATCTGCAATGTGTCCTCACTGTCCATGTATGACTTAGGGCCCTCCGTGCTTATGGGGGCCTCACTCATTGTTGCCTTCACTTCCAGTGTGCAAAGGTGTGTGGATGTGGAATAGTGTGAACACATTGAGGGAAGAGGATTCGTAGGAGTTTGTCTGTGTGATGCAATGTTTGTTTCATGTAATTTATCATGTGACCACTTAAGAAAATATTTTCTATAATTGGTTGCTTGAAAAAAAATTTAAGTGCAATGGTTCATATGTCCCAACTCCCCAACTGAGGTGAGCGCTGGGAGAGGGAGAGTTAATTTTCTTTAATGGTGTGGCCCCTGGTAGCTCCACCATGCTCCTATGGGTGCCTATATACTCACATGAGTATATGGGCAGTACAAATTGGACTGCGTAGTTTATTTTTAAAAAATGAGGAAGGGAGAAGAGGGGAGGTAGAAGTTGGGGAACAGATTTAGGAGGAGTTAGGGGGTGTGTCAAGGGATGAATAGGATAAAAGTACACTGTATGAAATTATAAACAATTAGTAAAGACTTTAAAATGTTAAAGACTAACAGGAAATAAATAGATGAACTTAAGCGTATTTTAATATTACTTAGCGATTAGCTGTTGTTTGCTGAGAAATTTTGGGACTTTCCCCATCTAAGATAACAACCATTTTTTATTTAAACTTCTATCACTATAGGTGCCAAGCATCAGTCTGTACACTATCGAGTTAACACACGGGGAATTCACGTGGCAAGTTAAGAGAAAATTCAAGCACTTCCAGGAATTTCATAGAGAGCTGCTCAAGTACAAAGCCTTTATCCGAATCCCCATTCCCACCAAAAGGTAACTGTGGCAGAACTAATATAAAATTACCTCAGTTTACATGGGTGGAAAAAATGCATTTTATTCTTTTCATAGGCTACCTGTTCCATTTTTGGTAGATATTTTCAATTGCATAGCTCTTTTAAAAGTAAACCGCCTCAGCTATATGCACTGATGCAGGCCTGTGATTCCCAGAGTTTGGGAAGAAGGTGATAAGAGTTCAAGGCCAGTTTTGGCTACCTAGTGAGTTGGAGACCAGCCTGGGCTACATGAGAACATGTTTTGTGTTATTTTTTTTGAGGCAGGGTTTTTCTGTGTAACCTCAGCTGTACTGGACTCACTTTATAGATCGGGCTGGCCTTGAATTCACAGAGATCCTACTACCTCTGCCTCCTCAATTTCTGGGGTCACAGGCATGCGCCACCATGCCCGGCTTATAGGAGAAGATGTTAAACATGGACGGGAGTGAAAATAATAAACTATGACATGACGGATAATATGAGGTAGTCAAAGAACAGTCTAATGGCTGTTTGCCTTGTGCGTCTATCTTTTAGACATACATTCAGAAGACAAAATGTCAAAGAAGAGCCCCGAGAGATGCCCAGTCTGCCCCGTTCATCAGAAAATGCCATCCAAGAAGAACAGTTCTTTGGCAGGAGGGTGAGTCTTTGTTCTGCTGCTTTGTGAAAACTTAACTGTACTTATTACTATTTGTGTGTGTGTGTGTGTGTGTGTGTGTGTGTGTGTGTGTCTGTGTGTTTACACATGTGTGTGCATACCGTGGCATAAGGCATGTGTATATAGTTACCAGAAGACAACTTAGTGAAATCAGTCCTTTCCTTCCATTATGTTTATGGCTTCCCAAGATCAGGCTTGTGTGGGTCTTCAGGCTTGTGTGGGTCTTCAGGCTTGTGTGGGTCTTCAGGCTTGTGTGGGAAGCTTCTACACGCTGAGCCCTCTCTCTCTCTCTCTGGCTGTCTTGTGCTGTTTTTAAAATCATTTCTAAGCACTGTAAGAACATAGCACCTAAGGTGAGAGAGCAGGGAGTGGCCGCCTCTTCCCTCCGCCACTGAATGATGGCTGCCTTGGCATCGCCTCCTGACCCCCAAGCCAAGGAGGTGGCAGATGGCTTGTTGCTGGCTACATGCAGGGACGGCCATCTTCCCAAATGGAACTTCCCTGGGCTTGAGGGTAGAGGAAAACATCATATTCCAGTACTACATGCGTTCCGGCATGCCTATAATCCCAGCTGGGGAGGACCAGAAGTATAAGGCTATCCTTGGCTACATAGCAAATGGAAAGCCAGTCTAGTCTACATGAAACCCTGTTATGAAAACCAAACAAACAAAACTTACCTATTATGAGCAACCCTGTTCATAAGTATGGCGGACTAAAAGTCGAACTTGGGTCCTGTCACCTTGGCCTACGGCAAGCCCCTGGACATGCCAGGGAGGGATTTTCTACTTTAGGTTTCTTGAGGGGGAAGAACTACCTCCACCATGGGCAGTGCCAGTCAGTGGGCTCGGGTTCTGGACTGAATGAGTGAGCTGAACCCCAGTATTCACCACTCCCTGTCCTCACTGTGAATGTGGTGTGGCCAGCTAGCTCCCTTTGCTGCCACCTCCCCTTCTGCTCCATGATGGACCTCGTCTCTTCAAATTGTAGACCAGGATATACCCTTTCATGTCAGGAAAAAGAACAGCTGCAAAGACCTGAGCGTACTGAAAACTAAATACTGGAAGAGGATTAACTAGCACTGCAAGAGACAACAAGTGTTATACTCCTGCCTAACGACAGAGTGTAATGAAGTGACTTGCAGATCTTAAAATGAGACCTTGTCTTAGCATTGTCATTGTTTAAATTTTCTACAGACATGATTATGTTCAACTGTATCCAAAATATTTTTTTATTGTAGAAGCAACTGGAAGATTACTTGACAAAAATTCTAAAAATGCCCATGTACAGAAACTATCATGCCACGGTAAGTACCCTTCAGTGGTCTTGAAGGAACCTATAAGATCCTAATCTGTAGCTGACATTTGGGTAATTTCACAAATATGCTTTCATGATTTTATGCTTTGGGTTCTTGAATTACACCAAATTAATGAATACAAAATTGCTTTTGACAGTTTGGATCCAGTTTATAATGATGACTCTGTTATTTTTAAAATATCGAGTAGCTCTTGATGTCTGTAGCAACAGATTCAAATGAAGTTAAAATGCTACTACAGACTACAAACTAGAAACCAGCCCTTTTCTCCCCATAAGTTTTTAGAATAAAACCAAAAAGCATTTCAGTGTAAATTGTCGAGCAGGTTTGTGTAACCCCAGATTAGACAGACCATAATTTGGTTGCTGTCCTATTGGCTTGTGTTTTCTTGTGAAAGTGAGAAGCATGGGAAAACCAGGAAAAGAAAGTCCCTTGCAAAATATAAGGAAAGAGAGAAGGTATTCAGGGCTTAGAAGCCACTGAGCCTGAGCCTGGAAGGACTGAAGCCAGCCAGCAGGAGGAAGCCGGCTTTGCACAGTCAGCAAACAGAGAGCTTTGGTTCGGAGAGGCCCTTGAATGGGGAGTGGAGTGTTTTTCAAAGATTAGCTTTCGGGTCTGCTGAGGTCTGAACAATGGCGCATGCCTGGATTATAATATTTCTCTCTGGCAGCACAGATTTCCTGTGAGGTCATCCACACAGTCGTGTTGGATGTAAAATGTATGGATGTAGAATGTATGAATTGGCACAGGTGCAGCGTAGCAGCCTCTAGCTTAGAGGACGGTGTCCCATAAGCCGGTGGGACTAAAGAGGGGAGAGGAAGCGAAAGTGCCTGGCTCTGCTGTTTCCTGGACAAGAGCTTCCTGACTGCTGTCTGTTGGTCCAAACATACACCCACTGGTATCCCTATAAATACACCAACAGCCCGCGCCAGGTGTCTGGTGCTTCTGTGGTGGCCTGTAGTGCCATGGTCATGGACTGGTAGAGTCTGTCCAGGTCTTGTTATCCTGGAAACTCAGGAAATCCAGCAAATTGGGTCTCACCCAAGGCTCTCCAGAGAAGGATGATGGGAGGGTTCTTATTCCATCTTGTGGTGGCAAAATAATTTAATGGACACACTGTGGTTTTTACGAGGAATGCAGCTTCCCAGCTGTGTTCTCCGTGCTCAGATGTGCTATCCTCTCATTGCAGAGTCCTGCAAATGCAACCTAACTCCCATATGCAGCCCCTCCAGTCCCCACCCCTTCCCCCACCCCTCCTTTGGCTCTTCTGCCTGTGACTTGACCTGTGCCATTTCTTTTGGCATAGGGTAGCACTTGGTGAGCACCATCTTCTCTCCTTCCAGTTTATGACATTTTAGATTGTGATGTTGAGCCAAAGAATGGATATATCTTACAGAGATACTTAGTCTAATTTTCCAGTCATAAAAATCTTTCCAAAATGAAGCCACATTGTATTTATAAACCCTGGAGTACCTTTTAAGCATTGCTTTTGGAGGAGAAAAACCAGCTGACAACCTAATGACTGTACCTTCCCGCTTGTTTCTGATGATTGGCCTGATGCTGCCTCCAATGGCAAAATCCTCCATAGTGATTCAATGATTGACGTATCTGAATGCACTAGCATTTCCCTTCATGCTAAATTTCACTCAGTCTCCAGACTAGATATATAGGCTGCATGTCATTTTTTTTTTTGAAAATTAGGTTACTGTCTATGTGTTTCTTATAATGACTGAGACATATTAAAAGTCCCAACTGCAAAGGGCATATTTCAAGTTATTTATTTATTTTATTATGTATTATATATAAATAAGTTATTTACTTTATTATATTATATATTATATAAACATGTGGTTATATAGGATTATATTTCTTTATTTTATTATATATATTTGTGTTATAATTTATTATTACTTAATATATAATTATATATGAAAATCTATCACACTATAAGTGACATGTTTATATTTTATAAAGCAAGCCTGTTTGAAGTTAACTCAAATCTTTTTCCTTCTTGTGTGGTGTGTGCATGTGTAGGCGTTCATGTGTGTACATGTGTGGAAGCCGAAGGTTAACATCATATGTCCTCCTCTATCTATCTCCAATTGCTTTTTTGAGACAGAATCTCTCTCTGAACCTAGAACTCAGCAGTTAGCAACATTGGCGGGGCATTGAACTCCCTTCTCCCAGGTCTGGGATAAAGGCATTTGCTGCCATATCCAGCATTTTATATAGGTGCTGGGAATCTGAACTCAGGTTCTCATGTGCACATGACAAGTACTTGACTCACTGAGCCATCTCCTCAGCCCTTAAGTCAGGTCTTTAAAACAAACCATGGACTGCTTAACTCTAGGACTGTGTGATCTGTGTCTGAGGGCTGGGGCTGTAGCTCAGGTTTTAGGTACCTCCCTTTGAGTCCCAAAAGGACCCAAACCAGCTATGCTGGTGCATGCCTGTAGTCCCAGAACTCAGGAAGTAGAAGGAAGCAAGAGAATCACAAATTCAGCTGCATAATTTGAAGTCAGCATGGGCTGATTTCCCAAAGATGAGACTCCAGCTAAATGAACAAAAAACATATTGTCTTTGGAACTTGTATTTTTTTTTTTTTTTTAACCAGAAGTTTGGTTGATTCTCATCAGGAGGATTTAGTAACTAAGTTACCATGCTTTGGCACAAACCCCACAAAGATTTGCTGTTATAGTATTGGTGAGAGGGTGTAACCAGAAATTGCTGCACTATGCTCCAAAGCATGGGGCTTTAGTTTGCTCAGAAGCTTTGGAAGCTAGCCCTGACTGGTCCTTCCCTCTTTCTTTTCAACAGCCTTTTGTTGATTTTGCAAGCAGATAAATACCTTTTCATCCAGGATCATGAAGATTTCTTTGTCTTTGTTTCCTTCTATAGCTCTCACAGAGTAGCCTAGCTTTTAAGGGGATTCACCCCAGGCTTCCCCGGAAGATTACCTCAATCAGTTCTTCTCACCAACTGGTAAAATGGGAAAACACGAGTCAATGCAGAAATGCAGCTCTCCCCTCAGAGGGAACAAGAGACTACTTTGGAACTATGAGGGATCATGTGCTGGGAACACAGGCTTCCCCAAACACCATGTTCCCACACCCATGCAAGTGGTTATGTGAGGTTTTATTAGTTACAGAACAAAGATAGTCATAAATCAAAGTGTTTATCAAATAGATTGGTGGCGGCTACAGGTTGTTGGGTGGCCACAACGCAGGGACAACTCTGTTGCAGTTTTAGGTAATATTTGATGAGTTTCTTAACCTTGTGGAGGCTGGTGGGTGGCTAAGATTGTGTTTTAAAGTTTTATTAGTCACAGGAAGTTAGATCAGACACAGGGATGACAATGGCTGGTTTTCAAAGGGACACTAAACAGTCCAGGATAATTTGGCTCTGGTCTACAACAATCTATCTCTCCATAATTAGCCATCCGGCCTTGTAGAAGGTTTAATGCAAGAACAGCTTGTCCCTCTTTTCCTCCTCCTTCTTGAGTACTATCACAGTGTGATTCACTTCTCTTGACACACACACACACACACACACACACACACACACACACACACACACATCTGACTGAGTGGTACACCACCATGAAGAAAACTTCTATCAGGAATTTTTTCTGTGATCTGAAACTGTTCTCAGAATCTACACTTTGGGCACTTGAAGTGCTAACTGAAAAATGCTTTTCTCCCCAAGGAATTGAAGGAAGCAGGATAAGAAGGAGTAAATGTGGTTTTTGTCCCCTTAAGATTACAATCTGGACATAGAACACAATACCCAGTATCCAAGAAAAGACCATAAAGTGATGGGAGCCATGGCCGTCCTCACTATGGGTCCGTCCCTCCCTGCTGAGATGCATTCTCTCCGGGGTGGTGAATAGCTTGATTATGATAAAACAGCATAATCGCCCCCGCCTTCAGATTGATAATTCCTAGTTCACTTCTCCCTCCCTTTGTAGGGCAAGTAAAATTAACTTGAGGAGAGGAAAAGGTAAGGATCATAGAGGCACAGTTTCTATGGCAACAGAGAAAAGCTGTGCCGACTAGAAAGGCCACATTTTTAAACGGTGTATGCGTTGTTTTTCATGACAGAACTTTGGTGCCTGGAGGGACCATAAGCCTTTGTCCAGCGTCTTTCTTCTCTCCATAGGTTGGACATCTTAGTCTCCTGTAGCTATGTAAGCTGGTTCACACAGGAGGCAGCTATTCCTGGAGTGCCTAGGCCTCTCCGCATCTCTACCTGCATGAGGTCCTGTCGGAAGCTCTTGACCTGCTTGCGTCTTACAGCTGCCTGGCTGGCCATGCTTTCAGCGTTGTTACTTGAGGCACGAAAGGGACCTTTGAACATTGCTCTCCCGTATAATACCACAATGGGGAAAGGACAATGGGTACATGATTGACAAATCATCTCCCCAGGTGTCAGGTTTTTACCCAGCAGATCTGTCACTTGCTGGTTGGCATGGAAACCTTTGTACTCGCTCATTTCTCCAGCTTTTCAAGTATCCGGTATCTGGCATTTTGTGCCAGATATGCTTTCCACCCACTGCCAGGAACGGTTCTAGATGCACTGGTTTGCAACCGCCCCTTCCGGAATGAAATGAAGAAAATATGACTAGTCCTTTATTCAGGAAGCCCCGTGGATGGAATACTTTTCAGATAAATTGGTTATAAACCTTAGCTGTGAGAAGTGTCTGTTTCGGTGAAGGGTGGAAGGCTTATCATTGAAGAAACTCTGGGAAGGTTGAACAATGTGGTCTTTTTAAAATTTTATGCTTTGCTAAGTAGTTTTGCCTCCCGCTTAACCTTGCCACATTTGATTGCTTTCCATTTGATAAATCTGCATTAGAGTGCTTGTGGCCAGAGCAGTCTCTCTTCTCTCTCTCTCTAATAGTGCTGGCTCTTCCTCGAAATCTCTTTAGTCAAACTTTTGCAAGCTCTTAAGAAAAAAAAATGTTTTTGATCTGCAGCTTTTTATTAATTTTTAAAGTGTGTGTGTGTGTGTGTGTGTGTGTGTGTGTGTGTGTGTGTGTGTG